TCTCAAACAGTTAATCTAAAAATATACTGTTTATCATTCTGACCATTTAATAGATAACAAAGGATAAAATAAAACTATTCAATTTAATGTTAAAATAGTATAATTTTTTGAAGAGAAAAAGAATTTATTTACAAAGTTCATAATTACCAAATTTCTAATTATAAATCATAGCACAGATGACATATGTTACAACAATATCAATGTTTTGTTTTCCTATATGCTTCATCAACTATTATTCAATACAGTATATGAGATTAGGCACAGAACTATCATTAGCACCTTTGTTGAAACAACAAAAGAAGTCTCAAGCATTTTCAAAAAAAAATTTTTTTTTAAATACATGCAATAAGCTTTTTTCAATACAAAGGAAGTATACTGAAATGATTTCAATGTTTAGAGAAAAAAATATGAGGAGTGAATTACAAAACAATATATGAAAGAAGAGTGAATGATTGAGATGAAGGGGGAGACTTTAAAAAGAGGTGGCTTGACGGAGTTGATGCATTATTCAGAGAAAGATAGTAGAAAAATTTAAAGCACAGGTAATGTGTAAAGCAATAAAATAGAAGCAAGGATGATTTGTGAGTAGAAATTTTTATGCAAATAGTAAATTATATCTGCTTTGCTTGACCCTTTCCTACTGCTGAAACTATTGCTTTTCTCTCAATGTGTAGAAGATCAAACAGCTAACTCTCTTGAAATTTCCATTCTCTCCAATCTCTCCATCCTGTGATGAGGATGGGGAGAAAAAACCAAGCAATTTTGTAGGCAATGTCTCCTTTGCTTGATCCTTTCCTGCTGCCGGTGCAATTACATTACTCTTGATGTATATAAAATCAAACATCTTACACGTAATTCTTAATTTATGACAGCCATTGTGATTGCCTTTACTAAGTGATGCGATCAAAAAACGGAGCATTACATGACTACATTGCTTATTGATGGCAATCCAGGCAGTTGCAGTTGTTATCATAATACCAAAACAGGTGGGTCATTAAGCGGAAAGTGAAGAAGGTTCCAGAGAAGGAGTATGAGGGTGCCACTTGGGGGCAGGAGACCCTGGGAGGCTCAGTGCAGGCTGTGTTCAAGTTGGGGAGGAAAGCTCAGAAAGGCTGGGAAAGAGGATGTGGAGCGCATGAAAGTATGAGTGCAAGACAGGGAGATTAGAGAAAAGGGTGTGGAAGTTGAGCATACGTGCAAGTGCAAGGAGGCCAGGGAAGGAGTGTGCTAGTGGGTACAAACCAGCAAAGAATGGCTGGCGGTGGGGGAGAAGAGACTTACCCAAGGATTTGTAACCTTCTCTACTGGTTTACCCTTTGACTTTGTTGTGAGAAACCAGCCCAAATGTAAGTGTAAGCTGCTTGCCAACACCCGAATTTTTTTCACATGACTGCAGGGGTGCTGTCACAGATGCAACTTTGAGGGCCGGTCATAAGCCTCTTCATTCAGTACCGTCATAATTTCAAACAGTCATTGAATGCATGGTCATAACTTGAGGACTACTTGTACTCTCTTAAAATCTCTTCCTCTCTAATCTCTCCATTCTGGGAAAGGGGACAAGGATGGGTCAGGCAAGGGAGAAATTTTCCAGATAAATTGCTTTGTTTCGCCTCTTCTTGCAGAGAGAAGAGATTAAAGAGATTTCAAGAGAGTACTATAATCTGTTTCCATAATGCACCTGTGGGTCTCAGGGTGATGGTGCGATTACATTGATTTCACTATGTATAAAAGCAAACAATTTATTCTCTTGAAATCTCTTTCTCTCCTATCTCTGCTTGGTGTGTGTGTGTGTGTGTGTGTGTGTGTGTGTGTTTGTGTGTGTCAAAAGTGATTTCAGTAAGAAATCTCTCTTTTACCTGACCTTTTCCCCATCCAAGAAAAGAGCAGAGAGATTGGAGAGGAAGAGTATAGGTATCTGCATTGGTATAGGATTTCCTGCCTGAGCAGGGGGTTTGACTACATGACCATCAAGGTACCTTCCAACTTTATTATTATTATTGTTGTTGTTGTTGTTGTTATTATTATAAGATTACAAGAGAGAAAGTTGTTTGCTCACACACACATTTGAAGCAATGAAGAAATAACTTTCATTCCCCCCTCACCTGCAGAGCTTAGAAATTAAAAAGAAAGGGATATCAAAAGAATAAGATGTTTGTGTAGTGAGCCCTTGGTTCCCAGCCCAGGCTACTAACTTGATCGCATTGCTTTTTATGTGCACAAGACACTAAACAGGTACTCAATATTCCAAAGGGGGGGGGGAATAGTTGAGGCAACAAAAGACAAAGGGGTAAAACTCAGTAGTCTTTTCTCTTTCCAGCCCATAAAACATAGTTTGTCAAATTATCTATGGCAGAGGTCCCCAACCTTTTGGGCACCAGGGACCGGTTCCATGAAGAGACGTTTTTCCGTGGACCGGAGGGGGCATGGTTTTGTGTGCTACCTGCATCTCGTGGATGGGACTTTGCTTGTTTGTGTGGCCCCGGTTGCTGGCATGCCGTGGCCCAGTACTGGTCCACGGACGGGAGTTGGGGAACCCTGAACTATGGCATAGATCAGTAGTTCTCAACCTGTGGTCTGCAGACCCCTGGAGAGGTGTGTGTAATGTCATCACATGGGGTCTACAAAGACTTGAAGAAATTTATAATTTAAATCTTGGTTAAATCTTCGGGGTCCACGGCCAAGAAAGGTATTTAAAAGGGGTCCGTAGTGAAAAAAAGATTGAGAACCACTAGGATAGATGATATGATATAAAGATGGATCCTACATGTTAAATGTTACATTTATTTGATCACATTTTTCTCTTTTTTTGTACAGTTTTTTCTTTTTGTTGTTGCTAGTGTTGAGTGTATGTTTGTTTTGTTTTGTATTTTACTTTTTATGATAAAACAATAAATATATAAAAACATTTTATTAATCATTTGTATGATGAAACTGAAAGAATGCTTATGATACAAATTGTGTATAAGACCACCAGTGCTGTAAAAGAGAAAAAAAAACACTGAAATTCAAAACAGTAGTGACAGGCTGCAAAAATAGGCTTAAAAATAACTCAACAAAAATTAATAAGAGAAAAAGCTAACACACTATACGAAGGAAACATACACCAAACGCCAAAGTACAATTTTGAGGCCTTGTGTAAAAGTATAGCAATGGTAGATCATTACAAAGCAAATATGAGCCAATGGTGAGATATGTCTGAATTAAAAAAAAAAAAAGCATACACAATTTCAGACTGCATCAACAGAAGAAGAAGTTTCCAAATTGTGGTAAATAATACTTTTATGCTGCTTAGTAAACATAATTCTGAAAGATCCATGGTACTCTCTGAGTTGGTTGCTTTCTTGTAGACATTTCATTACCCAAACTAGGTAAAATCATCAGTGCTGGTAAGAAATAGGGTTTGCTCTCAATTTATATTCTAGTCCAGGGGTAGGCAACCTCGGCTCTTTTATGACTCATGGACTTCAACTCCCAGAATTCCTGAGTCAGCTTAGCTGACTCAGGAATTCTGGGAGTTGAAGTCCATGAGTCATAAAAGAGCCGAGGTTGCCTACCCCTGTTCTAGTCAGTTGCCCTGTCAAGTGTTGGTGGGGTTGGTCTTAGATGCAGTGTTTCTCAACCTTGACAGTTTTAAGGCATGTGGACTTCAACTCCCAGAATTCCACAGCCAGCAATGCTGGCTGTGGAATTCTGGGAGTTGAAGTCCACATGCCTTAAAATGGTCAAGGTTGAGAAACACTGCTAAGAGGTTCTTTGGTTGAGTTGTTTACTGTTGCTCGGATACTGTTTACTTCTTGATTGTTGGGACCATTCCTTACCAGCATTGATGTTACCTAGTTTGGGTAACGAAACGTCTGCAAGAAAACAACCAAGCTGCTCAGAGAGCACCGAGGACCCCTCCTTCCAACCCTGACCTACAAATATTCTCCTTCGACAAACCCAATTCTTTAAAAAGGATTCAGAGAAATCAGAATGAGAGCAACGACAAGATCAGGGGATACGATGCCGACTACAAAACACGCTTTTTAAAATCATAATAAACCCGCCCGGGAGGAGAGCAAAAGCTATAAGTTGACAAGCAGGAGAAAACTAAAGCAGTGTTTCTCAACCTTGACCATTTTAAGGCATGTGGACTTCAACTCCCAGAATTCCACAGCCAGCATTGCTGGCTGTGGAATTCTGGGAGTTGAAGTCCACATGCCTTGAAAGTGTCAAGGTTGAGAAACACTGAACTAAAGACTGGAAAAAAGTTTGACGGCTCTCGCAAAGAAATCAAACCCCAGAGGACGCCGGTCTAAAAGCTCGGGCTCACCTGCTCCAAACTCGGGAACTTTCAAATCCCGCTCCCATCCGTCCACCTTCTTCACGTGCTGGTACACCAAGTTCTCCTTCTCCTGAAGCGTGTTCGCATCCTCCAGCGCGTAGTCCAACTGGCTCTGCGAAGGCGAAAGCCCGGGCAGGCCGCCCGTCATCGCCGCCATCGCTCTCTCTCCTCCCCCTTACCCTGCCGAGGACACGAGAAAGCGGGCGTGATTTTACCGCCCTTCCCTTTGGCTTTCCGGCACTTTCCAAACTCAAGTCTGTCCAGTCATGTTGCAAAACCAAACCAAACCAAACCCCCACACCCTGAATGTTTAAATCCTGTCGCCCTCGTGCCAAATAAAACGTCGGACCAAAGATGGGTTATTACTCCCTTTGGAAAGCCACAACGCTTTCCAAAAAGTACAAGAAATCGCATATTCGACAACAGATACCCAGCGGTCTGGGTTTTTTTTTTTTCCTTTCTTTCTTTCTTTCACTTTCACAGATTCGCCAGAAACAAATCTGAATCTGCTGGCTAAATAAGTGTAGGAATGTTTTTTCTGGCTCTGAAAGATACTAAAATAGTATTTTTTTAAAAAAATATATATATTGGCGAAAAGGCCGGGGGGTTATTTGTGGTGAAAGTGCGGAACTCATCGGACCGAATACAGGAGAAGGAAGGGAAGGGCCGCCAAGGAGGGATGAAATCGGTGGCGGCGGCTGGACCTTTTTTAAGATGTGAGAGATTTGGGAATGGGGCTGCTTCATAAGTGTGTGGAAGAAACCTGCTGAGGTAACGTGGTGCCATTATTACTCTGATTTCGGGGACGATAGCTTTCTTGGATGGAGAGGCCATTCATTTCGATGCCAGTGTAATCCAAAGGTCACGATCATATTTAATAGACGCGGATTACCGAAAATGTACCACCTAATCCACGAGGCTGAAATTCTGCTCACATATCCTGGGGTCAAAACTAAACAGACTAAACTAATGACTTATGGGAACAGGGCTAAACGTTTTGCTGAAGGCAATGCGATTTAGTTACAAGTTAAGATTTGCAGGGAACTCCGAGAGAGAAACTTGGGAGATGGCTGCTGTTGTGTCCTGAGCCTGCAAGAGGCAGGCTCGGGACGTTGCAAGAGTCCCGGGCATTTGCAGAAGCTGCCCGGGACCAGACTGAGCGGCGCCGGCCTTGTGCGCATGCGCAAGGCGGGAAAAGCCCGCCTCATGATTGGTTGAACTTGCCCGGGGATCAGAGGGTATAAATAGAGGCCTGCGTGCCTCTGCTCTGGTT